CACTATCCGGCCGCAAACAAAGCAGGCTGGTCACTGTAACACAAGAATGGAGGAACAGTTCAACCAGCATCATGGAGTAACTGCGCGCACATTCAGCGAAAGCCAGAGAGTGTTGGTTCGTGACTATAGCGGCAGACACCCTACGTGGACCCCAGGACTCATCCTTTGCTGGCGCGGCACAGTGGTCTACGAGATTCGAGTTGGTCCAGCCAAGTGGATACGCCACGCGAACCGAAACCGGCCCACAGATTCGCAGATCCTGCCTACAGGACCGAGTGATATGAGTCTAGAAATGCTTCTGGACAATTTTGATCTCGGCACCACCCCAGAAAATCAATCAGTGCTTCGTCAGAGGCCCAGCCTGAGCACGGATTACAACCGCGACTCTGCACAGACAGGATCCGCAAGCCAGTGAGTCCACTGCAAGTGAACCCCCGGCTTCGAAGCTACGTCAACAAACTTCAGCGGGGTGGTGTTAGGCAGGCATACACACGGATACTGCTACACCGGACGTCCTGAGGTGCTGCTACGGCCGATAAGCCTGGCACGCATGAGGTTGGCCCAGAATTCGGGACGCTTGCCGGTCCGGCATCAAGACGAGATCTGATTGGTTGACAATCTGGACCCAACAGCCAATCATGACCCAGTACTGGCCAAATGCCGGTTGCCAACGGCGCATCCAGAGCCCGTCAGAAATTCCAGAAAGTTATAACCGCTTACACTATATATGCGAAGCGCTGTGCAGCTGTTCTTGACCTCGTTTTGGGCATTAATAGACCTTGTGCACCTTTGGTACAACCACCTTTAGTGGTTGTTTTGACGTGAAGGATAGCTTGGGAGACTCAGACCGAGAACTAAACTCAGGAAAATACCGTTACTACAGGTGTCAGACAGGGCTGTCCTCTTTCTCTTGTCCTCTTCAAATGCATCGTTGATGCGATCATGAAGGACTCACTACCAGCCTCTATTGCCTGTGGGGTCTGCTCACAGATACCGAATATGCAGAGGACATAGCTCTTCTTGGATCTGACCCCGTGGTAATGCAAACAATATTAAATAACCTAAATAATTCTTCCTCGCGGTTCGGCATACGCTTCACACCTGGAAAGTGTAAAGTGCCACTGCAAGACTGGGTGGGCTCGAACCCTAGCCTCATGCTTGCGGATGAACCGATTGCGATAACAGACAAATCTTTCTAACTTTAGCAGCTGTGTCAGTCCCGGTGGTGTGGCGAAAAATGATATTTCCATCCAGATTGGGAAGGCCAGAGCAGCTTTTGCGAACCTACGTCACCAGTGGCGTAGGCGCGACATCAGTTTCTCTGTCAAGGGTCGAGTATACAATGCTGCGGTGCGCTCCATATTACTATACGGATCAGACACTTGGCCGCTGCGCGCCGAGGACGTCAAAAGACTCCTAGTGTTTGACCTTCAAGTGCCTTCGGAGCATTGCCCGAATCTGGTGCGAACACCAGATCAGCAATGCTGAATTACGTCGAATGGTTTTCGGAAGAAATAACTCACCCTCGATAAATGACCTAATCGCATTGCATAGGTTGCGCTGGCTTGGCCACGTGCTGGATATGCCAGTCGACCGACTTCCCCGAAGGGGAAGCACAACTGTGTGAAGAGTTGAATAGAGCCAGAGACGGCCAAACAATGACTTGGAAGCGAAGTATAAAAGCCATTACCAGCAAACTCAGCTGCGCTAATCATTGCTGCCTTTCTGGATGGGCTACATCAACGGTTAGAGACATTGTCAGACATGGCCCATTCGCGTCCTTAATAGTGCTCATGCATCCAAGCTATTACCTTCAGTGCATATCTCCCTTCCCATTCCCCCGGTGCTAGTACTGTATTTACGCACGAATTTGTCAACTCCCGCCTCCAATGCGCAGCTACCTACTCCACCTCCCGAAATCATCGGTGAACGAAATCGTGGCAGTCACAACCACTGTGCGACAAGTACGTGGTTCTTACAGCTGACACTGACAGTGATGACGACTGCATTCGCTGCGAGTACCTGTCTTGAAAATGGGTATTATTATCGATTCACTTCAGTTTTACGGGACAATAGACTCAAATATACTCAATAGACCCGATAGACTCAAATAAGCTAAACAGGCACTGGCTGAGAAATTCACTGTTATCCATGAACAGAGTAGGTTGAAGGTCACAGGACCAGCATCATGATGATTCGGACACTTCTGAGGCTGAAGGCGACTTCATATCCACAGTTCACCCTTCCGTTTAAGACCAGGACATCGGATTGGAGGTAGCAGGTGGCTAGCTGAAATGACTTTCTGAGTACTGTGCTCAGACGTCCAAACGTTTTACTATGCTTGATATCAGGGAGCTACTTTATCCCTGATAGTTTCGCTGACAAATTGCTTTCGAGGACCATTCGAATGAATGAATTGGAACAACTTTTCGGATCCCGCATTTCTTCAGCCTTTCAGGTACACTAAGCGTCTCGGTCTGCATGAAAACTCGGTTTCACCTGTCGTCGGGTTGAGTTGTGTTTGCGGCTACGATGGAATGTGTCGCCGGGTATCCAGCAGAGATTCAGTGTTTTAATTAATTTGACTGGGTTGTATCGCAAACGGAGGTCCCAGCTCTGAGTGGCGCTTCGGATATCTTTTCTCAGTGGCCGTTTACATGTGATATCGGTCACTCTGGCAGGCGTTCGAGTACCTGGTTATGATAGTTTCGTTTGATTTCTGGGTTCACTAGCTTGTTATTAGCCAAGCGAGATGTTTGAGTTTTGCTTAAACCTGAAAAACAGCATTGCACAAGTGCATGGTCGGAGTCCTCGCTGATGTTTTAAAAGGAGCGGCAGGCGGTGATCGACTCTCGCTGCCGACAACTGGCGGCGATGTGGTTTATTTGGATTCGGGACTTGTTCGTTGGTGGGCACCACGTTGTCAAGCGATCTCTGTTGTTCCGGATATTAATACTGCAAAGGAACAGTGTGTCATCTGCACAAATCTGAAGCAAGCGGTCTCCGTTGCGCGTTGGCCTCGTGAGCAATCTAAAAGAGCTGCCCAATCGAGCCTTAGCAGCGCTTAGTTTGCCTACTTGGATGTTGATGTCACAGTCAACCGCAATGAAATCTGAGCTCGTAGTGTTGAAATGTTGGTAGCTTAGTTGCATTACTTGTTAATTGATTGGGTAGCTGTTGATCTGTTCGCCGAACTTGGTAATTGATTTGCGAACGTCTCGTCACCATTCTCGGAGACATCTTCAGTGCGCTGTTGGGATTAGCGCATGAGTTCCAAAGTTCAAAATTACTCTGGTCAACTTTCGCCACTTGCACACGGTTTTTGCAGACGCAGTTGAAGAGGACATCCAGCACCAGCTCGACCGCATGCTACATCTACCAGATTATCATATAACCGGATTGGTGTTGTGCTCCTTTGCTTTTTCGGAACGTTCAAGTTGCGAGGTCAGTGTGGGACTTGTCAGAAGGATATGGGTGAGATTGCTGAAAGTTAGTTCTATTGGTGTAGCCCGCTATCCAGGATAGAGTTTCTTGGCTATCCCTGTGCTTGTCTGGAAACGCTGCAAGGATGGTTTCTGTTCGATATCACTGGCGTTGGCGTTGTGAGTTTCTGTCGAGGTTATTAGAGTGGGGTCTATGTACCTGAAAAGATTGTAGTATGCTAGCTTCTGACCCCCCTCTGTCGCTTGTTCTTCTACTTCACCTTGACGCGTCATGGCAAATTCGACACAGGAAAGAAATTACCGCAGACCTTGAACGCACCACCAAAACATTATCATTGGTGGAATGAGTAACAAGTAGGTTGTATAGTAGTGCTTACCCGGGAATTATTGTGAACTAACCACCATATATTTTAGGTGTCTCTGCTCTCGTATATGTATAAAATTGCACTTGATCATACCAGTGATATCTCGGCCGCTAACTCTCCAATTCTCTTCACCTTATTTCTTTGCCGCCACTGCACCAGCTTGTCCGTTGAAAGATCTCGATGGCAACAGAAGGCCGTCAGTTAGTTCAAGTAAACTATTCTTACTAACCATCCAATGAGTCCTTATTCTACAGGGGACAAACCATGGGGTGGCTCTAATTGATCGGCTCACCAAGAGCACTGTGGGCATACCAAGTTCGGAAACGGATCTGAAGCCCCGAAAACTGATAGAAAATTTCGGCATTGCCCTCCATGAACTTCTGATCCTCAAAGCGAAGCTGGAAGATAGATCTCTACAGCTTGAAGTGAGTACAATCTTCTATATAACATGTATCGCTTCATTACTGATTTATTAAGTTCCGTGCGCACATAGCTCCGTCTCTCTCAAAATGACACTTACTTGTAGTCAGCCCTGGTTGTGTCTGTATAGTGGTTATCATCAGATGTCACTGTGGTTTTCCTGGTCATTTAACAGTTAGCAGGATGCGATCAAGGTGATTGGGTACTACATAAAAACACTTTTAAAGAGCAATTGTTTGAGGTGATTTAAGAGGGATGGAGTTTTCTCGAATTTTGAATAAGGAACCAGCTACAGACCGTCACGAAGAGACTGGACCTTACCGTGCTGTGACGGTTTGCGCACCTCAGC